GTAAAAAGGGTCTCCGTTTCTCTACACTCACCATACGAAACACAGCAGCATTAAGCTACTATTTTAAGCTGGTATTCTGTGACAACTTTTCTGTGTCTGACTAATTTTAACAGATTTAATATAATGGATTTTCGCAACGTCGCGCCTGATTCGATGAACTAGTTCACATGATGGTATTTGTCTACTGCTGCCAATAGACACCGGCAACAAATTTTACACAAAGAAGACTACGAATGCGTTATAGTCACTAGTCTCCAGAGACTAAGATGGACTAACTCTCAGCCCGTATTGAAACACGCACCAGATTACGCACTATTGCTTGGCGGCAGTAATACGAAACAAAGTGGTATCTACACAGTATAGTACATACACACTTTGTACGTGGTAGAGCCACGCTGCAGCTATATTATGGTTGTAGCACGAATGGAGAACCACGCCCTAACAGAATACCAGCGTAAAATAGCAGCTTAATACTGCTATATGTTTCGTATGGAGAGTAGTAATAGAGATCCGGAGAGTCTCTTTTACTGGCATTCCATCTTAGTCCTCAGGGGTGACAACGCATCTGCGTTTTGATTCTTCGACGATAAATCTATGGGCCACAGCATCCACTTACCATCAGGTGGACTGTGTGCTCGTTTGTCACCCTTATTCTATAAAAAAAAACTTTTATTGTGACTATTGAAGACGACATTTTAGTTGTAAAGTTATAAACCATATAAAAGGGTCAAAAATTAAAACTTAAAAAAAAGGAAAAACCGACTTCAATTAAACTAAAAGGAATAAAACTATTTCCACTTTTTATTTTTTAGGTATTATTTTGATATTACTTTATTCTTTAAGTATTTTTTCATTTTCTTAAAAGTTTAATTTCAACTATATACTAGTTCAGACTTGGGAGGAGCAGATGTTTGAGTTTGTTTCAGAGCTGTTTCAAATGCTAATTGAATCTCATTTTCGTTACTAATTTGTAAATAATATTTGTTAATAAGATAAATAACATTATAAATAATAATAACTTTGTATCTTATTTTTTAAAATGTCTTCCAGACCGAATTTCGGCCACGGAGGCTAGCCATCGGCGCAGGACATGATTATAGTGCCCAAGTGTATGCGCAAGCACAGGTGCACTCTCTATTCCCTCACTCTCGTAATCCGATGGGACGGTAAACCGACACGACCGGAGAGAGATCAGGCACGGGACCAACGGCTTTACGTGCTTTCTGAGGCACGGGGGTGAGACACCGCCAACTTCCTGACTCCGGGCAGCTACTGAAAATTTCTTGACAGAAAAACTCAATAATTGATTTTTTGGCCCGACCCGGGATTCGAACCCAGGACCTCATGATCAGCAGCCGCACTACTACAACCACTAGACCAACGAGGCAGTTTCTTATTTTTTATACTGCTCTAATGGTAGCTAGCAATCTTATGTTTTTATCCACGTTAATTTACTTTTATTTACTGTACCTTTAATGCCAAGAAAGGTTTAGAAAGGAATGTTTAGAAAAGAGTTTGGATGAAATTACGGTAATCTAAAGTTTAACCTGCGTAATTTAATCAGGCGTTTATAAGAAAAGTTTTGTTTATTTTAATTTTAAGGCCTCTTTATCGTGCTTTTAATTTTTACTCCTAGTCCTTGCATTATATTCTTGTTTCTTTGAAATAATTCATTAAAGTTTTACAAAGCCTCGAATATTAAACAGAACATTATTTTTTGTTGCGAGTGAGTAGGTTTTATGTTGATTCGATTTTTTGATTGTTTTTTTTTTGGCCTATAATTTTGTAATGAATAAAAAATGTAAATCTCCTGAAAGAAAAACTCGAGAAACTACCGTTAGCCACTTAAAACGTTTATGTAGAAAACTTAATTTTTTACAATGTTGACAATACCGTTTCTAATTGTATAGTTTTTAAGCTTGTGATAATATATTAAAAATCAACCGAAGACTTGGAAAATTGAGGGAATTATTTTTTTACAAAGAAATCTCTTCTATACCCCACTTCTGTATATAGGCCTCCCCTAAATTTATAGAAGGTGATAACAATCCGTCAAATTTTATTGTTTCTCGGGCGCCAAGATGTCCTCAGAATGTTTTGCTTCACAACTAAGAGTGATAAACGAGTACACAATCCACTTGAAGATAAGTGGATGATGTGGCCTAGAGACATTTACGATCCTCGATTAAGAATAAAAATGCAGATACGTTGTTTCCCCGGAGGACTCATAGGAATGCCTCGTTTCCAGTAAAAACAGTCTCCGGTTCTCTACACCCACCATAAAAAATATGACTTAATTTTTTACAATGTTGACAATACCGTTTCTAATTGTATAGTTTTTAAGCTTGTGATAATATATTAAAAATCCCCGAAGACTTTTCCATAAATTGAGGGAATTATTTTTTACAAAGAAATCTCTTCTATACCCCACTTCTGTATATAGGCCTCCCCTAAATTTATAGAAGGTGATAACAATCCGTCAAATTTTATTGTTTCTCGGGCGCCAAGATGTCCTCAGAATGTTTTGCTTCACAACTAAGAGTGATAAACGAGTACACAATCCACTTGAAGATAAGTGGATGATGTGGCCTAGAGACATTTACGATCCTCGATTAAGAATAAAAATGCAGATACGTTGTTTCCCCGGAGGACTCATAGGAATGCCTCGTTTCCAGTAAAAACAGTCTCCGGTTCTCTACACCCACCATAAAAAATATGAGTACAGCAGCATTAAGCAGCTATTATATTATACGCTGGTAATCTCCAAGAACGTAGTTTTTAACAGGTTCACTGACCTAATACCACATACGGTCTGTAGAGAGACTTCCATACCAGTCCACAGACCGTATGTGGTATGTTCGCCCATACAAATTTTAAGCCATCTGATACTGTGGACGTGAAAAGAAAGTCTTATATTCAATGCAGAATTAGCAGGACACATCATAAGCATTATAAAAAGTGCTGGAACATAGGTAAATACTCGATATTTTTTTATATAGGGCATAAAATAAAAAGTGTAAAATTTTTTTTCGAGGTTTTATTGTTTCATTACTTTTAAATTAGCTTAACAATGGGTAAGTAACAAAAATACGATAAATGAATAGAAAATTTATTATATAGAACAAAAATTATACATGAGCCTTTTGAAAACCTTGCAAACAATAAGGTTTTATGCATATATTGCATATTTGCAAAACTCTTTTCACCTTATTAGTGACCGCCTGTGCTATCAATCTATATCGTTCGTAGCAACCTGTAAACCTTTGTCTTTGTAGTTTACCATCTTTCTTACCCAGCATTGGAAGGAAATGTTGTGTTGGCGATAGCGAGACATTTTGACGTTGTTGTGATGAACCTGCAGGTGAATTTTGCTGTGGAGTAGCTACAGCCGGAGCCGGTATCTGTGCGATATTTACATCCACAAGTTTTCTCACAACATCTGTTTGTGCTTATAGAAGTGAACATTTATTTTGACGGTTCAGTTTTTTATAGACATACATTGCATTTATTACGGCTACCCCAAAAATAACATCAACAGCAATCTTCTTGTACCACGCAAGACTTTTACGAATTTTAGAATAATAGCTGGCTAACTCATCAGAAAGATCAATGCTTTTTTGCGATTTTTATATTCCACAGACATGCATTTCTCCCAGTAGTCATAGTCTGTTCATCAGCGTGGCAAGTTGAGATCATAAGGACATCCCTTTTGTCCTTCCATTTGAGAACTGTTATATTATTCCGCTGACCGGCAAAATGTTGTCCACTTTTGAGCTTATTTTTTTCACTAATAACGGCAGATTTGTGCTAATTGCCACAAAGATTAGTTTTGCAACTAAGCAAGTATTCAGCTAATGGTATACTTGTATACCAATTATCTGCAATAATCATTCTTCCTTGATCCAAAAGTTCTTCACACAGCTTAACGCTAACGCTTTTAAGTTTTTTCAAATTGGAAACTTGGAGATCTTGGCCAGTATTTTATTTTTATTTTACTAAATAAAATTTTTGCAAACAAAAAGTAGTTATATAAAGGTCTAAAATTAAAAGTATATTTGTGTTGATCTAAACTACAATCCAAAAAAGTGTACACAGCATAATAATATAACTACAGTATAATCTTAGTCTTAGCAAAAATAAAACAGATAACAAATAATTAAATGTTAAGAGAAACACGTAAATTTATTTTAAATCTAACCAAGCTACTATCGAATATTATCTAGATGTACGTTACTATGCTTAAGGCGACACCGCGAAAAATGCACACCCTTCCATTGAATAGTATAGGACTATGACACCACTAACAAAAGTGGAATTTTGATATAGGTAAATTCATGTCTTTATCTTTTAATTTGCTTGTTCAAAAACACGATTGTATAATTTTGATTCGATCATAATTATTTGCGAAAATACCTCTAAAAAACCACTATAGTTGAAATTACAACGAAATTACTTAATCTATATCCTTGGGAATCGCTCAAATATATCCATAACATCAATGTTCATAATTTACTTGTCATTGTTTTTATTTGTCATTATTTTGATTATTTAAATAGATAATTTTAAAAAAATATTTTAAGATTCTGACAATTTCTAAGCGGTTTTTAATCATCGCGGGCGCTACGCAATTTTAGACCTTAAAACAGCATTTTTAAGTTTTTATAGAAACCACTTTGACACTTCTGGAGCCACTTTTTCGATGTGTCGTCTTAAGTATACACTTTGTATTTCCATACATATTCGTCATCAGTTGTGGCCTTGTAAATCTTTAGGCCACACTTGTGGGTTTTGTTTGGGTTGTATTGGCGAAACAGTATTCACCCTTGAAAAGGGACCATCGACTCTTCCACGACAACGACGTCTTTAGACGTAAGTAGTTTTCTGCAGTTTCTCATTACAATGTCTATAATTGGTTTAACCTTATACAAGCGAGATTCTTTCCGCCGTATTGTCTACAAAATGCCAGCAACGCAATATTGAAACAAAACGATATGACATTGTCATGTGCTTAGATAAATAGGGTCTCGTTCCCAGTAACTTCCTAATGATGGAAATCTAATTATACCAGTCACTAAGTAAATGCCCATAAATTTCTGTATATCTTCCCTGGTAACTGGTTTCAAGCGAGTCAAACTACCACCAGAATTAGCAGCAATACTTTGTTCAACGTACAAGTTTGTCTGTTGTACCATCAAGTCTAAGACTTCATCATCAACCAATAAGCGAAATATCGTAAAGACATCGGTATTTTCAGGAATGTGATCAATATGTAAAAAGTTTTCACTAGTAAAATCTTCATGATGCAATGGCTTGATGTCATAGTTCCAACCTTCATTCTCGTCATGTCGTTTCATTTCATAATCTGTAGTTGGTCTTGGAACAGATATTCTTGGAACTTTAACGGATGAGTCACTACTAGCACTATCGCTGGAACTTGAACGAATGAGTCACTACTAGCACTATCGCTGGAACTTGAACCGATGAGTCACTACTAGCACTATCGCTGGAACTTGAACGGATGAGTCACTACTAGCACTATCGCTGGAACTTGAACGGATGAGTCACTACTAGCACTATCGCTGGAAGTTGAACGGTTGAGTCACTACTAGCACTATCGCTGGAACTTGAACGGATGAGTCACTACTAGCACTATCGCTGGAACTTGAACGGATGAGTCACTACTAGCACTATCGCTGGAACTTGAACGAATGAGTCACTACTAGCACTATCGCTGGAACTTGAACGGATGAGTCACTACTAGCACTATCGCTGGAACTTGAACGGATGAGTCACTACTAGCACTATCGCTGGAACTTTAACGGATGAGTCACTACTAGCACTATCGCTGGAACTTGAACGGATGAGTCACTACTAGCACTATCGCTGGAACTTGAACGGATGAGTCACTACTAGCACTATCGCTGGAACTTGAACGGATGAGTCACTACTAGCACTATCGCTGGAACTTGAACGGATGAGACACTACTAGCACTATCGCTGGAACTTGAACGAATGAGTCACTACTAGCACTATCGCTGGAACTTGAACGGATGAGTCACTACTAGCACTATCGCTTGAACTTGAACGGATGAGTCACTACTAGCACTATCGCTGGAACTTGAACGGATGAGTCCCTACTAGCACTATCGCTGGAACTTGAACGAATGAGTCACTACTAGCACTATCGCTGGAACTTGAACGGATGAGTCACTACTAGCGCTATCGCTGGAACTTGAATGGATGAGTCACTACTAGCACTATCGCTGGAACTTGAACGGATGTCACTACTAGCACTATCGCTGGAACTTGAACGAATGAGTCACTACTAGCACTATCGCTGGAACTTGAACCGATGAGTCACTACTAGCACTATCGCTGGAACTTGAACGGATGAGTCACTACTAGCACTATCGCTGGAACTTGAACGGATGAGTCACTACTAGCACTATCGCTGGAACTTGAACGGATGAGTCACTACTAGCACTATCGCTGGAACTTGAACGGTTGAGTCACTACTAGCACTATCGCTGGAACTTGAACGGATGAGTCACTACTAGCACTATCGCTGGAATCTGAATTCGATAGTGAGGGTACATTACTAGCCATTGAGCTAGAAGTTTGTAAGGATACTTCAGTGGCATGTCTACTAGACTAAATTGGTTTTAGAGGAGCTTCATCATGTATATTATCGTCATAATTAATATTTACCTGGTTATCCGGCCAGCCGGTGACTTCTAAAGATGAAATATTGAACTCACTTGGAAAAAAGTCCGGATCTGCCACACTATCCAGCTAGTGGTAGAGCTATGCTGCAATTATATCAATAGTATAGTTGTAGCACGAATGGATCGGCTCGACCGAGGAAGGACCACGCTCTCACAGAATACCAGCGTGAAATGGCAGCTTGATGCTGCTTTGTTACGTATGGTGAGTGTAGAGAACCGGAGACCCTTTTTACTGGAAATGAGGCATTCCATCTTAGTTCTCACGGGTGACAACGCATCTGCATTTTGATTCGTAATCGAGGATAGATGTAAATGTTTATGAGCCACAGCAACCACTTACCATCAGGTGGACTGTGTGCTCGTTTGTCACCCTATCCTATATAAAAAAATCTATCGATTAATATTATTCGAAAAAAAATTATCGACGAATTTTCCACACTATCCGATGAATTTGACTAAGTTTTTTCTTCACGATCACTTTTCTCCAATATTTTCCTCAGGTGCTCGTCGGTATACGCTAGTTTACGGCTCATTTTACACAAAAAAAAAAGAAAAATCATTACAACAGGACTCAATGAGGGTAAATGAGTGAATGATTTGAACTACATGTGTCATATGTTACAATCTGTCAATGGCACTAGATATTTTTTGTTGCCAAACGCTAAAAAACTTAATAATTAGGAAAGTACGCGCAGATCACATATGGTCTGTAGACTAACGAGGTGATTTTTATCATCTTGCAAGCGCTATGAGTCCACAAACTATATGTGGCCTGTATTAAAAAAAACGTATTTCAGTAGAGTACGTACAAACATTTTTTAATACATAAGTATAAATTTTAACCACAAATATACCGACTTTAAAAAAACATAACTGGACTTATGGACAATTCCCACTCTGGAGCAGTGGCGAAGGTAGAGCTCCAAGCTAGGGCAAGCCCAAGATATAAATTGATAAAAATATAGATTGTTATTTTTAGCAGTATTATAAAAATACACCAATCTTGATCAGTCTCCACGCTTCAGTTTCATATTCAGTGCTGTCAAGGACGTGTTTAACAAAGCACACAGAAGGCATACCACTGCTAGATAGATTGTATTACATATCAGCAATTGCATAGCTTCGGTGGCTTTAAAGAAAGCCGTTTGGGTTTGTTTAAGCGAAAGAAAAAAAATATTTACGTCCAATACAATACATGAACAAAAGTAAAACACGAACAAAGTACAAACAAACTATGTACAAAATTAAAAAAAAAATTATTTACATTCTAATGGATAAGAGATAAGATAAGATAAGTGGAATCGTCTCGCTTTCTTATGGAAAGATTTAATTACGTCCACGTATTATTATTAGTTATTTTATTAGTTGATATTATTGATTGATTCAGGTTTAATAAGGCAAGCCCGGCTTTTCGGCTTTAATGGATGCTTCGCCACTGCTCTGGAGCCTGGACGGTGAACCTGTTATACGGCCGAATCGAAACGTTCGTGCTACAACCATAATATAGCTGCAAACTATACCACGTAAAAAACCTGTACTTAAAATTACAATTCACTTTTCCAGTGATAATGGCTTCGGTGTACCTACTCGTTCTGCTCGTATTGCGAAGTTTGTTACATTTAAGTAAATTACACACTAAAGAACGCAGTTCGAGCGTGGTGAGATCTTTTTGGTAAAAATAGTTAAAAAAGTAACAGCCTGTATACGTCTCATTGCTGGGCACAGGGCTCTTTTCATTACTAAAAGAATTTTAGAGCGAGGAATGTCCGCCGTGATTAGCGAACTTCACATGTCTTCGAATAAATTTTTTTCTTAATCAAACATGCAGGTTTCCTCACGTTTCCTTTCACCGCCGAGCACGTGGTAAATAATGGTGGTGATTTAAGTAAATATAGTGGTAACATATTTACAATTTATCTAAGTGTCTTGTTTTGACACAAGTGACGTATTAAACAGAGAAGCTATTCGGGGTTGTAAAATTGTTCAGTTTTGGAAAACAATACTTAACATGATTAAAATACTAGTGATATACTCGTATGATATTATTTTAGTGAAGGTTTGAACCCACTCATTTAGCGATAAAAAACTAGCCAATATTATCTTGCAAATAAAAACTGTCAAACCAAAGAAAATGCCTTTTTGTATAATGATTTCTTATATTTACGCGAACACTAACACATTGAAATAATACTAGTTTTTACGGAATTTATCGCGTATATTATAACTTTTTAAATATCCGACGTTTCGAACGCTTTACAGCACTCATGGTCACGGGCAGGACTGAGATGTTCAACGTCCATATGTCATAGTTAACCGCGGTTACCATAGATTAAAATTTAACTTTTGTTCCGATCTATGCAGTATGAACTTATGGTATCTTGAAGTCTTGCAGTTGTATGCTTGGGTTGGGATTTAATTTTATTTATTATAGGATCCCAAGCAGATGGTAGCACCCAGCCATCTTCTCTATTGAAATTAGGATGTTATTTTGATTTCAATAGCCTCGCGAATCATCCTTGGAAGGAATCGGTGTTCTTTAGCGAGGATCTGCGGTCTATCAAATCTGATGTAGTGACGGGGGCGATCCTGTACGTGTTCACAGACTGCAGACTTCCCGGAGCGTCGATTCTTCACATCAGCTATATGTTCTTTAACGCGGGTTTTTATTGATCTTTTAGTTTAACCTATGTAGGAGAGACCACATTCCCAATCAAGCTTGTACAATACTGCATCTTGCAGAGGGACATTACACTTGACCGATGGTAAAAACTGACCAATCTTCTTCAGCGGCTTGAAGTATGTTTTGATGGAAGCACGCTTCAAGATGTAGCCAATCTTGTCAGTGACTCCTCTAACATATGGCAGTACAGCAGGTACACGCTCGACTGTGGCCGGCTTCACTCGTTCACTGTGACGTAGGCGCGGGACTCGAAGCTTGTTGTCATGCAAAACTTGCTTGACATGGTGGAGCTCTGCAGCCAGGTGTTTACTGTCACAGATCCCTCGTGCTCTCTGAAACAAAGATTTACCCACGGTAGCTAACTGTGAAGGATGGTGGTGAGAATCACCGTTTAAATATCTATCTGTATGGGTCTATTTTACAATTTTACAAATTTTATTTTACAAATTTATGGGTTAGAGGCAAACAATTCCTTAGCTTTTCTAGATGTGTTAGTAATTCGGAATCCTGATAACACCTTGAGCCATACTGTGTATAGAAAAAAGACCCATACAGATAGATATTTAAACGGTGATTCTCACCACCATCCTTCACAGTTAGCTACCGTGGGTAAATCTTTGTTTCAGAGAGCACGAGGGATCTGTGACAGTAAACACCTGGCTGCAGAGCTCCAACGAAAAGATCAATAAACCCGCGTTAAAGAACATATAGCTGATGTGAAGAATCGACGCTCCGGGAAGTCTGCAGTCTATGAACACGTACGGGATCGCCCCCGTCACTACATCAGATTTGATAGACCGCAGATCCTCGCTAAAGAACACCGATTCCTTCCAAGGATGATTCGCGAGGCTATTGAAATCAAAAAACATCCTAATTTCAATAGAGAAGATGGCTGGGTGCTACCATCTGCTTGGGATCCTATAATAAATAAAATTAAATCCCAACCCAAGCATACAACTGCAAGACTTCAAGATACCATAAGTTCATACTGCATAGATCGGAACAAAAGTTAAATTTTAATC